GATTTTTTATAAGAACTATATGTAATCATCAAATATATGTAATCATAAGTTTCAAATATTTTTACTCACCCTTCCATAGCAATAGCATGACAAAAAAATATGTATATATTATTCAGACAATCTAAATTACATATCTAAATTATGATCAGCATATTAAAATTTTTTATTATAAAACATGTAAAAATAACACTCACTTTTTTCAGTTTCTCGGCGATCTACTTCGTCATAAACATCCATGGCTAATTCTTCCAACAAGTGATTCGATAACTAAACGAAAATAAAACAAATTAAGCAAAATACATGATGAAAATGAATGTCTCAATATAAATTCTTGCGTACCATTTGTAATCTACTTCTTCCTTCCAAAGCTACTTCACTTTTGTCTAAACTAGAGGTCAAATCAGAAATTATATGTTCATTGTTTCGATGATTTGGTTTACGGGAATATATATGATATGTCAATCTATCCGTCACTTCATACATACATTCAATTATACGCTCGGATAAATCTATATGTCCTGCCATTCTGAAATGATACACAAGATAGTTAAGCCTTATATGTTTTTCGCATGTACAAGGTGTCCCATAGGAAATTACTGAAACTAATCAGTTGTCATTTTTTAATGCATGCAGTTATTGACAAAACAAAAATTGTGTTGAAAAGAGGAAAGTCTATAGTTTTAAATGGATATCAATAAAATGTTTGTATACCAGTTTATTTTATTGAAAAAAAGTAATGAAAAAAGTGCTAGTAATCACATATGTAAACTAATAATAAATATTTTCGAAGTGCGCTCCATTTGAATTTGTACAAAATTCTGTTCTAACATATCATTTTTAATGTTATTGATGATCTTTTTAATAGCTGCTATTAAATCCAGTACTATTGAAAATATTTATCATTAGTTTATGTGATTTTATGTGATTATTAGCACTTTTTCATTACTTTTTATCAATAAAATAAACTAGTATACAAACTTTTTATTTATATCCAATAAAAAGTGTAGACTTTCCTCTTTCTAACACAATTTATGTTTTCTCAATAACTGCATGCATTAAAAAATGACAGCTGATTGGTTTCGGCAATTTTCTATGGGACACCCTATATATACACATTCTACATTAAACTTCATTTACTTAGCAATATCGGCAGCTAATTGTCCATTTAGATCAACCGCACTTGAATTTGCACCGTTAGCTATTAAAAGTTCCACTTGGAGGTTTTGTCCAGCACGTGCCGCAACATGTAAAGGTGTAGTTCCTTTCTCCTGCACAAACATAAATAAACGTATAATTTAACAGAAATGATGTAATTCAATTATATAGTGTCCCATTTTAAAAGATACACACAAATGTTTCTCTTGAACAATATACATTTAAAAAAGTTTCAGGAAAGTTATAGAATTTTGCGAGAAAAAAGAAATTAGAATTATTGACTTTTCCCTAAGAGTCAATTATCAAGATCATTTGAAAATCTTTACGTTTTTTTAAATGGAACTACTATAATATAATTCTTGTATGTATCGATTTAAAATAATAAGATGGTCAGAAAGTAAATAGTTTGAAATATTTTATACTTTAGTTAGAAAAAGTAATTTGCAACTTTCAACTATATTTTGTTTACAAAGAATTATATCTTCTTTGGACCAATTAATTCTCAGTATTTTATTCATAAAAGTTTATAGTTTATGTAAATATGTTAAATTTAAGTATCAAATATCTTAAACTATTCATTTTGTGGCTATTTTACCCTTATAACTTTTTATACCCAAAATTGTGAGAAATCGATTTATATAAAAAAATTGTGGTAATTCCATTTAAAAACATAAATGATCTTTAAATGACCTTGAAAAACACCCTTTAGAAAAAATACAGTAACGCCATTTTCCCCCTTCAAATCAAACTTTTGTTTGAAGAACATTTTGTTATACAGTCAAAAATAATAAAGTAAACATTTTTTAAATAAAAATATATATTTATATATAAATTACTTCAATAAATATTAAAATATACCTTGTAAAAATAATTAGAATTAGCACCCTGTGCTAATAGTCTCAATGAAGTTTCTAAATTACTCGTACGAACGCTGCTATGTAACTGTCTACTTAATTCCTCCTCGGTACAACATTCTTCCTTGCTTGGTCGTAATATAAATGCTAGGTGTTGATGCTTTGCCTTAATAAAATCTGCCTTCACAGGACTAAAAACAATATAATTTTAAAAATTATAATTATTTATATATCGAAATATAATTATATATCGAAATTTCCGTAGGGGATTAAAGGATTATTGAAATTAAATCTCAAATATGAGATTATTTCATATTTTAAAATCTTGGCAGTGACCAAGTAAAATTTGGTGCCTTGTGCACAGATATTTAATCCTAACGAAAAAACTTAGTTTCGTTGGGATAACGCACTGTCTTCCGCGATCGGCTCTTATCGCCTGTGTCTTATACTTTAAATTTATATATATATATATATATATATATATATATATATATATATATTGTATAATATATATATCAAAGAAACATAATACTTATATGGAAAATATATATAAAGATAGATGTTTTTAAAAATATTATTAAAGTATCATCAATTTTATAAATATTACATTATATTAATTATCAAAATATCAACAACAGCTTTATATTTTGAAGTATTTCTAATACTTGGAATCAGTTTTATTCGAAAAAATTATAATTTTTAAATGATTTAAAACTATGAAGTCACCAGATGATAATTAAAAAATGGTAATAATTCAATCGACCAAATCTGGCAAATAAGTAAATTTATTGAATTTTCACAACGTTTCGGCCGTGGGTTTCGGCCCTTATCAAGTGCTATGTTCTTAAGGGCCGAAACCCACGGCCGAAACGTTGTGAAAATTCAATAAATTTACTTATTTGCTAGATTTGGTCGATTGAATTATTACCATATAATAATTTTTATTTAATGTGGTTAATCTGATTTTTAATTTATTTTTATTTTGATGAATATCTTTTTGTCTTTTTTCTGCATAAAATAAGATTTGTGGTATAAATTACTAACTGTAAGGGATCCTTGGCCTGTGGTTTTCTTCTGCTGATCTTCAAGCTGCTAGGATCCAGTAGAGAGTGCTCCCAAATACTATTTGCACCATTGTCATTCAAGGTATGCACCATCTAAAATATTTTCACCAAGTTATTTCAAAAATGATATAAACATAAAAATAATTCTACAAAAGTGATTTTTTTCACTTTTTAAAGTTATTGTGTACCAACGTTCAACAAATGCGTATTCCAAACATCCTTGTGTAGCGACTTGATATGCGACACATGACGTCCAAGACTACGATGAATTCCACAGCAATCATCACACAATAAAATAGCTCTATTTATCGATGCCCATCCTGGCTCTAGAAAAAACCAACGCATCTTTATTAATAATCGCTTTTTCTTAAAGAAATAAGTGAGTCCAACTGAAATGTCCCACTAACAAATATGTATATATATTTATGAAAATTGAAATTGACAAAATAGAATTTAACATAACTTGATAATTGTCATGTTTTAATACCACATCAAGGTTCAATTTGTTTGAAAAATTGTCTTAAAAAGTAAATACTCGAATTAATAAATATGTATTATTAATGTGTATTCCTGAAAATTGAAATTGACAAATTAAGATTTGGCATAACTTGATAATTGTCATGTTTTGATTCCGTATCAAGGATCAATGATTTGTTTGAATAATTGTCTTGAAAAGTAAATGAGAAAATTAAAAACAAACTCCAATTAACAAAAAAATAATATGCATTATTAATATATATTCATAAAAATTGAAATTGATAAAATATGCATTATTAATGTATTCATGAAAATTGAAATTGACAAAATAGGATTTGACATAACTTGGTAATTATCATATTTTGATTCCGCAGGCTATAAAAGCTCAATGATTGTATTTAAATAATGGTCTTGAAAAATAAATAAAAAAAAAAAAAAAAAAAAAAAAAAATGTATTATTAATATATATTCATGAAAATTGAAATTGACAAAATAAGATTTGACATAACTTGACAATTGTCATGTTTTGATTCAGCAATGATTTGTTTGAATAATTATCCTAAAAAATAAATAAAAAAATAAACTCCAATTAAAAAAATGTGCATTATTAATATATATTCAAGAAAATTAAAATTAACAAATTAACCTTTGACATAACTCGATAACTGTCATGTTTTGATTCCACAGGCTACAAAAACTCAATGATTGTGTTGTTTGAATAATTGTCTTAAAAAATAAATAAAAAAATTAAAAACAAACTAATTAACAAATATGCATTATTAATATACACTCATGAAAATTAAAATTGACAAAATAAGATTTGACATAACTTAACAATTGTCATGTTTTGATTCCATAATGATTTGTTTGAATAATTATCTTAAAAAGTAAATAAAAAAATAAACTCCAATTAACAAAAATATGCATTATTAATATACATTCATTAAGCTATCGAGTTTGTCAAATTAGCCTTTGACATAACTCGATAGCTGTCAAGTTTTGCATCAGGTTGAAAGCTCAATGATACGAACAATAGTTATCAAAAAAATACATAAAAATAAAAAAAAATAAATAAATAAAAATAAAAAACAACTTACCAAAAGCTCCACAGTCCGCGCAAACGTCAGGGCTAACTTTGTGCTTCGGACGCGCCATACTTTCGTCTTCTCGATGATTAATGACACTTATTCGTGCACGTTTATGCACAAACGCATCTTCGTAACATCTTCAACGACCGATGACGATAATCAACGCGAACAATTATTTATATCGGATTAAGAACGTAAATCGAGCCGTTCCGTCATCTCGTTTCCGAAGCATCCGAGAAACTAAAAAAAATTTAATGCTCGATGATAGGCAACACACACACACACACGCACGCACACACACGCACGCACACACACACACACACACACACACACACACACATATATATATATATATATATGCGCGAGAGATAATTGGGAGAGATAGCGACTGTTGGTAAATTTTGTGTTCTCGTAAAGAGAAGGTTATATTATGAGAAACATGTTCAATATATTCAGAAAAATTTAGATGGTATTAGAAATTTTTGCTAAAACTTTCCTGTGTGCTAAAAATATTTTATATAAATTGAAAAAAAGGAAAATATACGTGTGATCTTTGCATCCTACAGAAAATTGAAGAATAAGGAAAAACCTGCACCTACAAATCAAGAAAATATATTACAAATATTGTCAAACTGATTTTTCTTCTAATATATATTAATTATTAATTGGATTAAATATCTATATGCTATAAATATTAAATTTGAATGTAATGTGTTGCTGAGAAGTCTTGTTTGTAAGTTGCGATTAAAAAAAAGACATATTACAAATATCAAACTATTACTTGTCTTCTTTCTCTTCTAATATTAATTATTAGTTTGATTTAAAATACTATATATATATATATATATATGTTATAAATATTAAATTCGAATATAACGTGTCACTGAGAAGTCTTGTTTGTAAGTTGCAATTAAAAAGAAAAATTAACTATTATTTGTCTTCTTTCGCTTCTAATTATTAGTATAATTATTAGTTAGATTTAAAGTGCTATATATATGCTACAAATATTAAATTTGAATGTAATGTGTTACAGAGAAGTCTTGTTTGTAAGTCGCAATTAAAAAACATTGCACAAGATGGAAGATTCTATAAAATCTGAGGATACTGAACTTAACAATGTGATTCCTGCGTGTCCTCAAGTAAATCAAACCTGTTCGGACACAAAATTCTTGGGAGATAATAAGAATACACAGATTCGCATTGTTCGAGGTAATAAAAAGCTCAAGATTGATAACAGCGATCCTAATAATCTTGAAAGAAAGGGTGCGTATACATTGATATAAATAATCAGAGTAATAAACTAGTTAATTAGTTGTGTAATAAACTAATTATAATTAGTTAAAAATTACAATAAAAAGTTAAAATGTCAATAACTTTTAACTTATTGTTAGCTTAGTTAATTTTTTAAATATATTAATTTTTAACTTCAACTAGTTATTTTTTACCTTAAATTTATTAACTTTTTTCCAAAGTTAAATTTTTTTTTATCTCTGACAACCATTATTGTTATTTTATTAGTTATAAACGTATTTTAAATTGAAGTATTAATTTTTATGTTTATTTCGCATCAATTGTAATTATCAAAAAATATATTTCTATATAAAATCAAAATTTCTTTGTTATTTATTATAAATTTTAAAAGAATCAACAAACAAAATTCTAATTCTAATTTAATATAAATAATGTCTTTAAAAATTAACTTTTGATTTAACTTCAGTTAATTATTTCTTAACTTTGAGTTAATTTTTGTTCATGTAACTTTTAACTTAACTAAATTAATTTTTTAAGCAACTAACTTTAACTTAACTTAGTTTTAAAAAATCATTAACTTATCCAACCCTGCAAATAATAATATGACATTAAAGTTACTGAATCATAAATTATTTCTTTCTGTCAATACAGATGTAAATAAAGATGAAGAGGCAACAGAGGCTAAAGTAAAATCTCTCAAACGTTCATGCGAGTTGTGGTCTATGGAGGATAAAAACACTTTTTTTAAAGCGCTAAATGAATATGGCAAAGACTTCGATGCCCTACAAAGCTATTTTTTAAATCAAGGCAGAAAACGTGGCCTCTTGGACCCTATGATAAAAAATAAGGAGCAAATTCGACATTTCTATTACAGAACATGGCTAAAAATATCAAAGCATCTTAAGTTTTCCGAAGGTTGTCAAAATATTTATAATATATGATAATGATATTGTGATTTATATATGCAGGGTCCTATTTTTAATTAACTCTTTTGTCAAGGTATCATTTTTCAAGATTCTTTGAAGATCAGTTTAATTGTTTTTTTTAAATAGGACCATCCTGATTTTTTTATACAAATCGATTCCTCTCAATATTTGACATAAAAAGTTATAAGAATAGAATGATCAAAAAATGAATAATTTATAAGATATTTTGTAATTCAATGTGACACATAATTTTACATAAACCATCAAATATCTCATAAAATTAATTTTTTCACGCCAATACTTTATGCATAAAATAATGAGAGGAATCAATTGCTGTAAAGAAAAGTTATAGTTATTTTTAAGAAAAAATGTGTAATTTCCAAATATCAGTTACATATTTTTTCTTTTTACAGTCATGGTTTCAGCAATAATTCGACCATATTAATTAAAATCAAACTGGATATATACACATACACATATATATATATATATATATATATATATATACATATACACATACATACATAAATACATACAAGGTGTTCAAAAATGAGCGAAATCACTAAATATTTCGAAAGCTAAGCATTTTAGACAAAAATGTTTCGAATGAATCTTAGGGCTCAAAATAAGGCATTTGATGGTGACCAATTTTAACCTGAGAGTCAAACTTAGAGATCATTTTAAGGTCAACTTAATTTTTTAAAATAGAACCCCCTACTTTTTATAGCAAATTCTTGTAGCTTATCTTGAGAGCTTTTCAAAAACACTATAATAAAATATTGTTTAACAAGGATAGAGAATGTATCGCTGTGAAGAGCCAAATATAATACTTAGCAATTCGCTAAGACGGGGAAACAATCTCTAAATTGAGATTTAAATTCCTCTTCCTTTTACCCTCCTAAAATTGATGTAGACGAGAAAAATATATCGGTCCGAAAAAGTCGAATAGTTTAGTTGGAAAGAGCAGTCGCCCGGTTAGCGGAAGGTCTCTGATTCGATTCCCGATTCAACCGACTTTTTCGGACCGATATATTTTTCTCGTCTACATCAATTTTAGGGGGGCAAAGGGAAGAGGAATTTATATAAGATTTTTATATAAGATATTTATATAAGATAAGAGTGTTTTAGCCATATTATTGTTAAAATATTTTTTCATTAAGTACTTTTTGAATTATAAAAGTTTGAAGTTTTGGACTCATTACCAACTTTTTTCATTTTTGTATGCAATGTATTGTGATACTGTGGTTTGTACGCAATAGAGCTTGTAGGCAATCGATCTGCTGGCAATAATTTTTGTAGTTCAATGAGATGTTGGCAAATGGGATGTCGGCAAGTGATGCTGTTGGCAATTGATTTGTATGCTAACGGCCCCCTTCCCCCAAGAAAATACACAGTTGCATTTGAAAAAATATGTTGCAAATTGCACGCATCTTTTTCAAAGCAACTGTGTTTTCTTTAAACCAATTGATTGCTCTCATTATTCCATGCGCAAAACTATTAAGGTATAATCCAACTGAATATTTTACAAGATATTTTACATTTGTGTCAAAAGATTGTTAACTTTAAACCTTTATAAAAAAGTACTTAATGAAAAAATTTTATTATAGTATTTTAGCAAGCTCTCGAGATAAGCTACAAGAATAAGTAATAAAAAGTAGGGGGTTCCATTAAAAAAAATTAAGTTAATCTTGAAATGACCTCTAAGTTTGACTTCTAGGTCAAAGTTAAGGTCACCAATGCCTTATTTTGAACCCTAAGATTCATTCGAAACATTTTTTTCTAGAACGCTTAGTTTTCGAAATATTTAGGGGTTCCGCTAATTTTTGTACACCCTATATATAATATTCATATATAAAGTTTATATATACATATATATAATATAAAATATAATTAATGTAAAATGTAAAATAAATTTTAAATATATAACATATAATTTTTTAAATTTGTAAATATATATATAATATAAAATATATATTTTAAAAATTATATATTTTGAAAAATTGAAAATTATATATATTGATATATTTTAATTATATATAATTGATATAATATTACTTCTCATATATAGATGTTAAGAAAACTTCCCAAGAATTATATGGATTGATAAATTATGGTGAACTGAGAAGAAAGTTGCCTCGTATTCATGAAAAGATTCATTTAAGACTGAATGAATTGATATATTGGGGATCCACTCAAGTGAGACTCAGAGGAAAAACTATGAGAATTAAAACACCTATATGTAGAGCGCTTAGAAAATTAAATCAATTAGAAGGTATATCAGAGATTTTTAATATATTTTTGAAAAAGACTGAATATATTAACATTTAAAAATAATTAAAAATTTTTTATTTAAATTTCTACTTTTTCTTCGATACATATATGTCAAATTCTTGTAAATTTTAATAATCTTATTGCTGCATATATTTAGCTAAAATTCATGCATATACAGATTTATTAATTATATAAGTATTAGCTAATTATATGTGAAAAAAGGAGTGTCGGCAAACTTTCGATCAAAATTAACAAGATTAATTGAATGTTTTTTACTCCAGATTGGCAGGAAGAGATTAAACTACCATCCAGAATAACGATAGAACTACGACCACGTAACAACATGGCTTGGTGGCAAGTGCAATCAGCATCGATGAATCCAAGAGTTCGCACTCTGCTTCCGATACAGAGACGCCTTTCAAGTCTATTGATATTTTTGCAACAACGATGGCGACTCGCGAAATACACCACAGTATCCTTATTATACACCATTCAATTGTAATGTACTTTTATTTTATGTAGAATTATTGTTTAGGGTCCTGGGGGGGGGGGGATCCTCACCATGTCAGATTATGACGTCAGAGGCGAGGAGCCAGGAGCCTGAATTTTTAAATTAATTTAGATTAAATTATATATATAATATATATTTAAAGTGTAAATCAGGCAATAATAGCCAAATCGCGGATGACAGTGCGTTATCCCAACGAAACTAAAATTTTTTCGTTAGAATTCCATACATCCCCTCTTCCCACCTAAGGAAATAAATGCGAGAGAAAAATATAGATCCGAAAGTCGCTGAATCGGGAATTCCCGACTTTCGGATCTATATTTTTCTCTCGCATTTATTTCCTTAGGTGGGAAGAGGGGATGTATGGAATCAAATCTCTTGTAGAGATTATTCCAATTTTAAATCTTGGCCGTGACCAAGTAAAATTTGGTGCCTTGTGCACAGGTATTTAATTCTAACGAAAAAAATTTAGTTTCGTTGGGATAACGCACTGTCATCCGCGATTTGGCTCTTATTGCCTGTCTTACACTTTAAATTTATATTTATATTACAGAGCCTTGTTAAACTCTTAAAAATATATATATAATTTATATATGTATAAAGATTAAATAAATATAATTAATGTAAAAATATAAAATAAATTAAAATATTTATAATAATATAAATTAAATTAAAATTTTTTAATATATAAATATATAAAATATATTTTTTTATATTGATATACAAATGTAATTATATATAGTATAAATAATACATAACATATGAATTTAATTTTATCCAATACGCATCTTTTACCTTATGTTAAAGTACTTATAGGTACATATAAAAATCCTTAATATATTACAGTGTTCTACTATAGAAAATCTCATCGCTAATGATGCGAAGGACATTCGTTTATTGCGAATTGCTCCATTAGAAGGATGTAAGGTTGCTTTGCCGATGGTGAATCTTGGGGAATATCTTACTAGCAATAGCGTCAGTTTGAATTCATACGAAAAACGTCTCGGTCTCAAGAGTTCTAGAGTGGATTTGTTAGGATCTGTTCAGTATTTAAAAGGTGTAGGGAAAAAAGGAATCAAACGGTATAAATCGGACAAGAAGCTTTTAAACCGCACCGACGAAAATTGTACACTGCCAGATAATAGCAGCGATATGGATCTGTTGGAAACAGGAAGTAATGTATCTGAAAAACCAGCTATTATAAACAATACGGAAAAACCTTCGGCGGAATATCATACAGAGCCTAACAAATTTCCTGGTAGAGAGACTATCGAGAGAATTCGAAAAGGTTGGAATGTGGAAGAGGCAAATACAATCACTGTGGGCGATCTTTTTTTAATGGTACGCATCATTATATATTTAGTATTGTATATTAAAAATTTTGATATTAAAAAATTATATATTTTATATATAAAAGTTATATATTTTATATATAAAAATATATATTTTTATTTTATATATATATATATTTATATTAATAAATAAATAATAACTGAATAAGTCGACCAGACTGGCAATGATTTATTCGATGATTAAATTAGATACGACGTTTCGACCATCAATGCGGTCCTTCTCAAGAAAATCTACGAATATTAATCACAATAAAAATTAATATTAAAGATTAAAAAATATAAAATTAAAAATTTTTTAAAATAAATATAATTACACGCGTATATGAACACAAAATATAGATTAATAAAAATAGATTACATTACCAAATAGAGTAAAGAATGTAAATCAAATTCATAAGGCGGGCGTGAATAATTTAAAATATTCCGGACTGGCTACATTTCAATAAACGTTACATAAAACACTGCAGAAAGCAACAATCCACAGATAGAACGTCAAAACGACGTTAACTACTCGAAATCCAATTAAATACTAACAGTAAGACATCAAAGTTAAATTACAGTAACAAAGTCAAATAAATAAATATAATCAAATAGAGTCAAGAACGCGGTCATAAATCTCACTGAAATTATCCGTATCTTTTTGTAAATTATTAACATTTTCGAATGCTTCTTGATGTAAAACATCTCTGCAATTTCTCTTTTTCTTGTATGTTTCTCATAATGTAATATTTTTGGAGAATCCCAACGAAATTCATGGTCATTAGATGTACGATGCAGACTGACCACAGAATAAAATAAACTATCTTTTTTAATGTAAAAGGTGAAATATAATTTTGTAATATATAAAATTATATTTTTTTATATTGATATACAAAATTATATATAATATAAATAATATATATATAACATGTGCAAATTTAATTTTATCAATAATCAAAATAATAAAATTGCATGTGCATTTATATATTATTCATGGAAATATATGTTCTAATTTTCTAAATTTAACAGTTTGGTCGTGAATCAAAAGTTACTTTGGAATATTGGTGGGATTGGCCACCTAACGAACAATTTGCAACTGATTCATCGAGTATCATGCGTGAAAATTTATGTTCGGTTTTACAAAAGTTGTTGTCACTGGCAAAACATAATTATGGTACAAACAAAGTAAGATGTATATATAATATTAAATATTTTATTTATTAAAATTATGAGATATATAAAATATAAAAGTATTACTTTCCAAGAGTATAAAACTGATGCATCGATTTTTAATTAATTAGAAATATTTTTTAGGTATATGATAACACAACAGGAAGTAACGAAACAGTGATCTCATCTCGCGTACCATCTATTAAGGAATCTACATTCAGAAGACCTCTTATCCCGCAAACGTATAATAAGATTGGCACAGCTGATGCATTTAAAACGCAACTCGATGTAAGTTATATTACAAATTCATTAATTATTTCATTACTTCTGCATTAATTAATTATTTAATTGTTCTACACTACTTGAAAAAAAAGAAAACTTTTTATGCTCTAAAATTAGGCTATTTTCAAACCATTAAAACTCGGTGAAAAATCATCATTAAACTAATAATTAAAAAGTATTTTGAATTATTATTAATATATTATAGTGATTAAAAATTTTTTTATTTTCCTTGTTCTGGAAAATACAAAGGTTTCAAAATCGTGTAACTCGATTTAAAAAAATCGTAGGAAAATTTAAAAAAAGCATTTCGTAGACAGAAAAATAATAGTTTATATAATTTGAGTTGAATCTTTTGAGATAAATTTTTTCGAGTTGTAGAATATCAAAAATACGTAATTAAGGAACAATGTTGTTCTTAAAAGCTCAGACAGTGTTTGCTGTTGTCTAAATAAAATTATATAGATGAAAATTTAGCGTCATCTTATTTTTATATAAATAATAAAAATATGTATTATCTATATCTGCATTTTAGATGAAAAAAGTGTTATCCTTACTAAATTATCTAGAATAATGTGATAATTTGGATTAGAAAAATAACACAAAAATATTTAAGCAGTAAGCGATAAAAATTTATAAATAAAAGTATATAAGATAAATTTTTATATTTTATTTTTACTAGATAACACAAGCGCACGCTTCGCGTGCGCTAAATAAACTTTTTCTCCGCGAGGGTACATAATTTTAATTTGTTGAATTTCAATTATGTACATAACTTTAATTCTCGAATTTCTATTATGTACATAATTTTAATTCGATGAATTATGTATTAAATTATGAATTAAAATTATGTATATAATAGAAATTTGTGAATTCAAATTATGTACATAATAGAACACATCATTTTTATATTACGAGGCGCTCGAACGCTACGCACCTACCCTAATCACGAATTTATCGCAACGCGCCAGCATCCAATCAGCATCGAAATAAAGAGGCTTCAACATTTCGATATATTTGAGTAATCGACTTAACGTGCACTTTTTAAGAAAAGGATAATTTACATTTTTTTTATAACTGTGTTTACATAAGCGGTCTTAAAAATAATATTATTTATAAGTTATCTAGATGAATTATCATATAATTTTAGTTTTGATCTAGATATATATTTAAAGCAAAATCATCTTCATCTAAGAGATGAATTAAATTTACATATTTTTATCTCGTTTTCATCTAGCTATAAATTTTAAATTATCTAAGCACAGAATAGGAAAGATAAACAAGTTTTTAAAAAAATCGTATTTTTTATTTAATTACATAATAATTAATTAAAAATTAGTATTTTTTATTCAATTACATAATAATTAATTAAAATTATTTTATAAAATAAGTATTTTTTATTAATTAAAAAAAATTTAATATAATTTTTTTTTATATATAAAATACGATTCTAAATAGAATCTTACATAACAGAAAAAAGTAATTAAGTATATATTTATATATATTAATATATTACAGTGATTTAATCTTAATTGTTTATACACGCCGGCCGAAAAGGCGTTATTTAGAGTATTTATAAGCAGAGGAAAGTCTATCGAAGGGTATGAATAGCTCAGTTGGAAAAGCAGTCGCCCGGCAAGCAAGAAAGGTCTCGGGTTCGATTCTCGATTCAGCGACTTTCGGATCTATATTTTTCTCGCATTTATTTATTTATTTCCGTAAGGGGTTAGAGGGTTTTGAAATTAAATCTCAAGTATGAGATTATTTCAAATTTTAAGTCTTGGTAATAGATCGAGAATGATACGTGCCTTGTGCACGGTTTATTTCCAACGAAAACTTAATTTTCGTTGGAAATGTACGCAGCAACATCCGCGTATGGCTCTTTAGGCCTTTCTTATTCGTGATTTATGTTTAATATATTTATATGTTACAGAAATTCAAAACACGTTTTTGCAAACGAGGTAGAACAGTGAGACAGAAGAGTCTCGTTATACAAAGGGTGCTACCTATCGTGTCCGCGCAAAGTATGCCCTCGGAAAGTCTGACAACCGATGCAAGTAAGATCGATGGATCGTCTTCTTTATGTCAAACCGAAACCGATAAAATAGCGCCGGTAAATGCGAGCGAAACTCAAGAGAAAAGCTTCTTGGATGCTCTAGAAACGAGCGCGGATGCGAAAAATTCCAATTCAATTATTACCAGCGCTACTCAAATTCTTAAGGAAGGCGAACATCAATGGTTAAATAGCGAGGTAATTGATTATTAAATCTCCGAAATTTTTTTTATTGTAAAACAAAAATTGTTTGATTTGAAGAGGGACAGAAGATGGCGCTATTTATTTCTTTCTAAAGAGGTCATTTGAAGGTCATTTGTTTTTTTTTTAAATGGAAATATAATTTTTTTATATAACTCGATTCCTTGCAATTTTCTGCATAAAAAGTTATAAGCCTAAATTAGCCAAAAAATGAATAGTTTACGAAATACTTCATAGTTCCATTTAAAAAAAATGATCTTCAAAAAACCTTGAAAAGCGTCCTTCAGAAAAAAATCAGTAGCGTCATCTTCCGTCTCTCTTTAAATCAAACTTTTGTTTGAAATTTGTTGTACAATTAAAAGTAAACAAGTTTTTGGGGATGGTCAATTAAAATTGGACACCCTGTATAAACATAGCATATTTTTCGAATGCAAATAATTAACACCATTGAAATGATTGAATTACAGGTTGCAGATTTTTCATTGAGCAGCTTTTTGGGACAACTCGATTCGCCTATGAAAGGCTCGCAAAGAAGTCAGGCAGGCGAACAAATCATGGATGACACTCGTCCTTCCTCCGATGTAAATATATAAATATGTCAATTATATTAATAGGAATTCTGGTGAAGAATATTGTTTGGAAGTTCAATTATATTAATTAATTCAATATTTTATTCTCTTCTATTACGATTTACTATCTTTATAACATTTTCAGGTTGTATCACATATGCAATGCCTTATGGGAGAGAATAGCGTAGACTATATGGCAAAATTTGCAAATCTGGCTTCACAGATAGCTTCTGATGAAAATAAGAAATAGGTAATTTCAAATTAAATTTTCTTTCACTATAAAAATATTCCGTTCTTGTTTTTGTATGTGTGATTCTAGTACAAAAGTAAGAGGGTGATATTTATTTATACATATATGTATTTAATTTTTACATGGATATGATCCCAATTTTAAAATCAAACCATTACATAGCATATCAGTATACTGTAAATATTTGTAATTTTTTATATTGTAACCACGTGTACATATTGTACATAAAACAATAGATAAATGACAGTGTGTAGCAACATTATAACAATTCTTTTTAAAAAGAAACTACTTATCCTGGCAATAAAAATTGTCAAGAGGAATCATAATACGAGAACGAGCTATTTTAGATATTATTATGTCAATTTTTTGTATTAATAATTATCACTTAATTTCAATTAGAAATGCATGAAACAATTATAATAACATGACGAATGTAAAGTAAAATTAAATAATGTCGATATCCCAGGTAACAAGAGTATGTCAGTTTGACGTCATTAGACGGTTTGTCATTTTTATATTTAATGATGTCAATTTACTACTTGAGATAAACTAATCAATATGTAAATTCAAACTTACGTAATTTAATAATAACGATTATTGACGTTTTACATCTGTGTTTATTTATTTATTGTTTATTTATTTTATTATAATAACTTTATTTATATTTTATGATAATTCCTTTATTTATATATTATATATATTTATATATATTTTTTTTATTTATATATTATATATAATTATATATAATTATATATAATTTATATATTATATATGTATATTATATATATATATATATTTTATTTTAATTATTTTAAAAAAAAGTGTACTACATTTCTCTTATATTTATGTTGTTCAAGGAACATCAATTAATGAGCAAAAAGCATATCTTGCCGCAAAAATGTTCGCGTTCTTAGAAATGAAACCTTCGACTTTTTCCCTGTTAATTGCGAAATATACATCATCAAAATGATTCATACTGCTTACATCCGCGTGACCAACATCTACTTAGAATTCGTATATCAACAGGTATAATTATCTATCACAGACGTAAATGATTCCCTCTTTCTTTTTCCCTCCCTTTCTCTTTCTTTCGAATGATTTTTTTTCAAACTAACAAATAGTAGTTGTTGGCAATAAAATTCATTTTATTTAAATTAAATTAAATAAAAAAGATTTTTCACATACACAACACATTATATATAGTTTTGTTATAAAAGTGCGTTTTAATTTACAAGTATACATCACTGTATACATTACTGTATATATCACTGATTTATGGGATTAAATGGAGCTCTTAATATTGCAAGAAACAAAAATAATAAATATTACATAATATGTTATAAATAATTGCAGGAACTATTGTAAAAATTGTTGTGATTTTATTACATACTTTCACTCAATATATTTGTGTAAAAAAAGTAATTTTTATAAATTACAAAGCGTTTTATTGCAGAAATCATAAATAAAAAAAAAGTAAAAAAACAAGGAAGATTGCGGCTGTACCGACATGTACACATCCAAGGTGTGCATCATGTTATACTATAAATAACATCGAACATAGGCGCCTTATTGCGAAAAATGCAAAATATCATCGTACGTATCAAGTTATTTTTTCAACACAGTGAATGACGACAAAGATATATGTTAATTATAGTTGATTGAAATAATCACCAGATAAATTTGTTTCTTCAAACAAAAAATTACTTAAAGTTATTTTTATTTTTATTTTTAGTAAAAATAGTTTGAACAACTTACCATTATAAATGTGTCATATATTAATGTCGGAATTTACACTTACCATAAATGGTGTTTTATTCTAAAATGTATTTTTCTTGCAAACTAAAACTTAATTAAGATATCAATAATATATATGTATAAAAATCAAAATGTTAACTAAAAAAGTTACTACAAGTAAATGTCTGTAAACAATATTTTTTTTTTAATTCCACATGCAAATACATATTTTTGTAATTTTTATTTTTTAGTTACATAATATTAAAAATATATTAAGTATTTATAAAAGTGTAAGTATGTATTTATAAAGTATATAAAAGAGTTGATAAAAGAAACTTTAAAAAAAACTTATACAAAAAGTACAAGTTCATAAAAATTTAATAAAAAAAAGAATTTTAATCTAAGTAATAATTATAAGTAAATAAAATAATAAGAATTTAAATAAATATAAATGTAAATATTTGAAAAATCCATTTTTATTTAGAAAAAAACATTTTAAAAATGCCTATTTTTCATTTCCTACTTTAAAAGGTATCTAAAAGCATTTTGCATTTTCAAATGGAAAGCTTCCAACTATTTTGCATTTCCTATTTTAAATGGGTTTATAGACATTCATTTTCTCATTTCTGGTTGTTTGTAAGGAAAAGAATATTGCAGCTACAAATTTATAAAATGAATATAATTAATGGTTGTGTCGATGATTGAAATTTTTTTAAATAAAAAAAATAATCACAAAATTGACAACTTACCATTATATCATGTATACAGAGTATCAAATTTTAATGTCAGAATTTAATCATCTCCAAAAGCTTTTTTATCTTTGATTGTACAATAAAATGTTTCAAACAAAAGTTGTTTGATTTGAAAATAAAATAAAATAAAAATAAAGTAAAAATAAAGATAAAATAAAATAAAAACAAAATCAAAATAAAATAAAAACAAAATCAAAATAAAATAAAAACAAAATCAAAATAAAATAAAAACAAAATCAAAATAAAATAAAAACAAAATCAAAATAAAATTAAAATAACAATAAAATAAAAATTGACGCGATCGAAAATGTACAAATCGACGCCAATGAAATGTAAAGTTATCGTTGCGTCAGCAGCTATCGCGGTTCGACGGTGATTGGCCGTCGCCGTTGAGCGGGAAATCCCCGCGTTGAAACGTGGAAACCTGCTCCGGGCCTCCCCACCGCATGCTTTTTCCACTGACACAAGACTTCGTGTAAGCCGTAAGCAGTAGCTTCGGAGACGTTCGGTTGCGTAAACGTGTTTGACGTTTGCTCGTCAAATCTCATCATTGTATTTCTTCTAATTGTTAATTTCGAAAAATTATCACATGATATTGTATTTTCATGAAGTGTCCGAGAGGGTTTTATTATAAAAGTGACGATTTAATTTAATGCATCGCGTTCTTTTCATTCTTCTTTCTTGCTCTTGCAGATGACTCATGTATTGATATATATCATTATTATATGATAAGATCGAAGTGGAAGTGCTGTAATATTTATTACAAAAAATGGATTCATTTATAAGTGATTTGTCAGAGGTAAGTTTAATTTGTACACTCTTGTGTGATTCGTGTGTTATTGAAAATAATATACAGGGTGTAACTGAAGAAATTTGTCATCAAATTCTTTGACTAATTGGGAAAGTACGGTCATTTTAGAATTTTTCCTCGGGGAAAATGTCGACACTAAAATTTTCAAGTTATCAATAATTGAAAAAGAAGAGCTTCTTACAAACTAAACTTTGTATAGTTGAAATATTAACAAAATTCAGGGTAATAACTAATTAATTAGTTAATTAGTTAAGTTTTAAAAAAATTAAAAAGTTAATAATTTTTAACTTAGCTTAATTAATTTAAAATGTATTAATTTTTAACTTCAACTAGTTATTTTTTTTTACCTTAAACTTATTCACTTTTTTCTAAGTTAATTTTTCTTATCTTTAAATACCATTATTGTTTTTTTATAAATTATAAACATATAATTTTTAATAAAAATATGTATAATAAACGACTTATTTGGCAAACAGTTGTTTATTAATAATAATACACAACGTTTCGGCCTTTGGTTTAGGCCCTTTTCAAGCGATCTAAAATATACATTTATTATAAGTACATTATACATATTTTTATTAAATTGAACTCTGGCAATTTTCACAATATAATTATAATATATTATTTTTAAATTAAAGTATTATTAATTTTTATGTTCATTTGTCATCAGTTGTAATTACCAAAAAATATATTTCTATATAAAAATCAAAATTTCTTTATTTGTTATTATAAATTTAAAAGAATTAACAAACAAAATTCTAATTTAATATAAATAATCTTTTTAAAAATTAACTTTAGATTTAACTTCAGTTAATTTAATCTTAACTTTAACTGAGTTTTTATGTTCGTGCAACTTTTAACTGAACTAAATTGATTTTATAAGCAACTAACTTTAATTTATAACTTACTTAGTTTTAAAAAATCATTAACTTATCCAATTCTGACAAAACTACATTCTTTAATTAATTTTCAGGTAGAGTTTACTTTAATAGAATTTTAATTTAAGGCTTAGTTACAAAAATACAAGATGATAAAAACAAACAGATGACAAAAATGATGACATTTTCGCTGAGGAAAAATCATTTCCAATCTTTGCCACAAAATCTGATAGAGCTCCAACTTTTTAATTTAAATAAATTTTTACACTTATCATTCATTTACAGTTCCTAATAAATCTTCTATGAGTAAGTTGATTTTTCAGTTTTAGCTTCCTCATAGAGCGAATAAAATGAGAAAGCAATGTGCAAATTTCTAATTAGAAATTTGCACATTTTTTTTATATAAAATATATATTTAAAAAATTTGACAATCTACGTTAAAAAAATTGAAAATTTTATGAAAAAAGACAGATCTATTCTTTTATCAATTCTTACTAAATTCGATGTCAATTATCTTTTAATGATACTCTATTTGTGTAAAAAAATTTAGTTCAGAATCTTAGAATTTACGAAAATTAAAAAGTGTATATTTCTTAAAAAAGATTTTAAATTTCATAAAAAATGAACTCTTACCGATTTAAATGTAATACCAACTATTCTTTAATGATATTCTATTGTATATCATGCAAAAAATTTATCTCAATTTATAAAGGATGCCTAAAAAGTGCGATTTTTTAACCTCGAGCGGAAAGTAAAATTCGAGTTGTTTTAGGTCTCATACATCTAGAATAATGTAAAAACCATAGTAGTTTTTCCTAGAAGTGCAGGGAACATTTAAATATCATCATGTTTAGAGAAAATCACGTAAATCAATATCTCGCAATAAATCGAGATTGCTTGATGTTTTAGTCAAATATTTTGATAAATATTTTGGTAACACTAACTTTTCAAGATCATTTAGACCGATTTTAATATCAGTCAATAATAAATTGAATAATCAGGAGACGCGGTAGTGTCTCCGGCCATGTTCAAACCCTAAAAGACCTTAAAAGACACTACAAGTCTCCTTATCCTGCACCATCAAAGTCCATTTTTTGGGGTGTAGAACTACTAAAATAAAAAATTTTGAATTGCACGTAACATAACCTGAAAGGCGGCATCGCCACGAGTAATTTGAGCCAAGAAAAAATAAAATCGGTCAAGCCGTTCCGGAGATACAAGCGGTCAAAAAGTGACGTTTTTCATGAAAAATTAAGAAACGTCGTCTTCTTCTTCTTCTTCTTCTTCTCTGTCCGCGTCCGCTGACGTCATCAGGATTATATATATATATAAATCTCTTCTCACCTTTCACTCACACCTCCCTCAACTTCCACCCACCCCTTTCCCTCCCACATCCCGCCCCACCCCCCACCCCCACTCCCACCCCTCTTTCG